AAAATGATTTTGTTAACATCATAGCTGTAAGTACACACACGCAGTTACACAGAACACAGACACTTGTGAGCAGTCTAAGACTCACCAGAAGCAGAGTGTGTCTGAGTCTTAATAAGCATGACTTTGAGATTAACACAAAGACACAGAGATACAGGTACAGTATAGAGACTGGGGTAAATATATCAGTGGATATACACACATGCTAACAGGCACAAATTCACACATCAAACATTCAATTGAAACCAAGCATTTATTTTTATGTCAAAGCTACAAAATTCATTTTGTTTTTAGGTTTTTCAGGATTTTGGCCATGTGTAGCCCTACAACTACAAATAGGTGTAATAAGCATGGTTTATCCTGGTATTACTGCGTGTGTAATCATGCGCCTGCTGCAAATCCGCTGCCCTTAAGCTGTTTTCACACAGAATCTACAGCTACGCTCCTTTGATGGAGTGACCATGCCTCAAAATAAAAATCAGCACTACACTACTACTACACTTTATTTTAAAGTGAGATATGCTCAGTTGGAAAAAGATTTTAAATCTTTTCATATATTCACATTATTAACAGTTAATAGTTTCTGTGTTACACAATCAGATGCTGGTTGGAGTAAATACATAATGTAATACAGTTAAGTGATCTTGGGACATTTTTGCGGTAGTAAAACTGCAATTACTCTTAATCATTACCTGTCATAAAAGTTAATCATGTTGTCTGTTCCTCATGCTGATCATTGATTATTTTGGGTTATATATTTGTTTTTTCTCTACAGTACAGCGACTATGTTCGGTACGTGGAGCCCTGTTTCAAGGGCATGCTAGTACAAGCTGATCTGGATAACAGAGAGGTAACACACACAGAAGACACACACAGATACACACAAGCTCACAGCTAATTAATTCACTTAACCACTGCCAACATATTACTCATATTCTGTTATCTCAGTTATCCTCTAAAGACAAAGAATATGCTGTCATCACATCACAGTTGCTCAGTCCTTGTGTTTGTGTGTGTGTACTATGTGTTGGATGTATGCCCTACTTTTACTCCCCTTCGCATCATCGCAGATCAGGTGAGGTCACTGGCCGCTGACAAAATTTTTGTTAGTCACATGGCCTGTCAGCAAGGGATTTGATTGGTTGAATGCCTAGAGAGTCGGGATGTAACAGAATGGGCTTACAGATGTTGGCTGTTGGCACTGTTACGCATAAGCCTGAACTCACGTTAGAACACACAAACATACACATTTACAGGAAGACAATCTTTTGTGGCTGTTATATAAGAGTTCCTACATTCCCAAACAACTATTTATTTTATTTACTCACACTGTAGGTCAGAACAAGTTTGCCCAAATTGTAAAAGAGACCAATGTGTGTTCAGTTTTGTCAAATATTGGCCAGGTGACCTGAGGTGCAAATCTCTGTTTTAAGAAAAGGAACACCAGCCATTCGTCATAGTGCTAAGTGGCTAAATAGTGTTGGCTAGTGTGCATGTTGATTAATCCTGATTACCTCATGGTGCTGTAGTGACTTTGCCATAATTGGTCTGTGTGCCAGGGAGCCGGGGATAATCCCTCCTCTACACTCTTTCATTCCCTCATGAACTCTCCATGGCTTAGTGACAATGTCAATATGTTTATTTGTTGTGTGTCTCTCTGCAGCATTTCAAGCTTTTGGTTGAAGAGCTTCATGTCAAAGGAGAGGGCAAAGTGAAACATGCAATGAAAGAATCCTTTAAGATCCTCAACGAGGTGTGTGCCTCTTTGCAACAACCACAGCACACAAATTCACAGGTCTGCAACATTTGATTTCTTGAGTACACATTTCCAAGACCAAGTACATTGTGTGTGTGCATATTTAGGCTGCAGCGCAGGGCCAGGGCAGCCTGTGTAACCAGGCCATCATGCTGATAACAGACGGAGCCATGGAGGACTTCCAGGATGTTTTTGAAGAGTTCAACTGGCCAGAAAGACGGGTATGACGCACAAATACAACAAGTGCAAGCACTAGTGAAATGTACTGTAAGCACACATACAAATAGCATTGATGGTATTAATATAAAGCTGAAATAACAAATGAGTGGGGTTTCTCAAATATCACCATATTCTTTATTAACTCTCCAGGTTCGTGTGTTCACCTATCTTATTGGACGGGAGATGACATTTGCTGAAAATGTTAAATGGATTGCCTGCAACAATAAGGGTAAAAACCCGATGAGGATGAATAATTAGCCTGAAGGTCAAAAAAATGTCTGTAGGTTTTGCCACAAAATCTGGGATACAAAGTTTGGGTAATTTCAGCAATAAGCAATCACATAACTAACAAACAATAGCATATTGTTTTTAGCAAGAAAGGAGATCTGTTAGCCCTTGTTGGTGTTCCCAGGTGCTACTGAAGGGGACTGGGTATCAGGTGCTGCCCTCTTGTGAATTACATGGGGTCATGCAATAGCTCAAACCTAAAAATAATCGCTTTATACTGCTCTGAACACATCAAAAAACCCTGACTAAATACCTGATTATCACAACGGATACACTGTAAACACATCTCTGGCCAAATATCATATCTGTGTATGTGTGTGTGTGTGTAATGGGTAACAGGTGCACTCCCTTCTGTTGCATACACTGGCAGTTGCTTCTGCCAACAACAAAATATCTGTCATAAACAGATAGCTAATGGTTACATTCCTACTATAAAACTTCTATATACACTTTCAGTTTTAGTTGAGAAAGCAGGTATACTTAATAATATTCACAGCAGCACTCTTGGGGAGACATTACAGAAGGAAAAAAGGCTGCAAGCATTCACAAATTCATACCTGGCAGTGCTTCAGTAGCCTGTTGTCACTGAGCAGCTTCACTGCAGGTATCCCATTGACGTCATTTCTCCCACTTGTAGAAATGCCATAAACCTTAGACTAAGCCAAGCTTTAAAAGCAAAGTCAAAAGCATATTTGCATTGATGGGAGATTCAAGCTGTTTTTTCATTAAAAACAACTTAGTGCTTTTTGGGAATACAAGGTCTCTGAAGTCAGATAAATTAGTTTGCTGCTCTAAATTTAATACCTAAAAGCCAGATGCAGAAAGATAAAAACTATATGGTGAACATTTTCTATGCTAAAATGTATGGTTCCTAGTTTTTCCATCTCAGTACAGTAATTTGTGATATATGGGATGTGTGTGTAAATGTATTTTGTGTCCTGCAGGTTATTACACACATGTCTCCACACTGGCTGACGTCCAGGAAAACGTTATGGAGTACCTCCATGTTCTCAGCCGGCCAATGGTCATCAACCACGATCATGACATCATTTGGACGGAGGCCTATATGGACACTGTGGTCAGTTTGCTTCTCTTATTATTAGTGTGCTTGCTGTGCAATTCACACTATTATCTTGCATTAAAATTATCTGTCATGTGTAATCAAAATGTCAGACTCATTAAGGATGCCTGTGCTGTTCACATATCCATTTTATTCTGGATTGGCAACAGAGATAAACTTTTTTGCAGTCTATCTGTCTCTCTTTATGAAAACATTTAAACCAGTCTATTCATCTCTGTGCCTCTTTCCATGGAGCTGAAATATTCAAGACCCCTCCATCCAGTTAATCCCAGACACCAATACAATCTCCTATTCAGAACACAGAATACTACAGCCACCACCAAGTACTGCATACTAACAACAGAGATCAACTAAGCAATGATCTGAAAACTACTGTAACTACTCCAAGGAAGGTTAAAATCAAGGGCAAGTGGTCCTTGATTTTAATCTTCCTTAAATAACTAAGACCTGACCACCTTATAACCTACACTGAAAAACATGCCAGACCATTGAGACCATAACAATCACCCATGCAAACTACACAAACACTGAAAAAGTAGCATCCACTGTTGGGCAAGATTCTTGTAGAAATGAATAAATTATTTACGTATTACTCACTGAAAAAAGTCATTACATTACTTTAACTGTAATGGCAAGCATCATCCTCCACTTCCTGGCAGTAGCTAAGCTTCCAACCCCTGCAACATCCCTGAAATTACCAAAGGATTAATAACTGTAAGGTCATAACTGAATTTTAATAAACTAAAAAAAACTGTAACTGTAACACCTTACTTAGTGGTGCTCTATTAGCCATGGTTATAGTATCTAACCAGCAATGCTCATTTAGCAACACACCAGCAAAAGACAGTTTTGCTCAAGCAGAAATTTTCTAAATAATTCATATTTTTCCTTTTCTAGTGCAGCTGTTGTTTTCTTACCACTGCCTGCTTATTTCGGTTTCATCCTTTATTTCATTATCTCTTTTCATCTGTACCATATGTGGCATGTATTTTCACTGCCTTTTCATGTCTGTTGTCTTTCCTCCCCTTCATATCCACCTTCAGTTCCCCAGCACACAAGAGGTAATCATACTACTGTAACATTAGAGCTTTAAGTTTACTTACTATACTCCTTTTTTTTTTTTAGGAATGTTACCGATTTAAAATACAGAATATAGTATCTGTAACGGCTTGCTTAGCCTTTTGTTCATAGTCAATAGCTCAAAGTTTGTAGTTTCGAGTAGTTTCTAGTTAATCTAACTTTCCACCATTGCTTCAAGTGCTTAAGTTACCTTAGCTCATCCTCTTGTGAGCTAGCAGGGTAATTCCTATAAGCTAGCCTAGCTTAAAAGTTTTTAACCTGAAACCTGAAACTGGAGGTTAACATGCTGGTTTTACTACTTAGCTTTCAATTTTATTTAATAATTTTGAAACTTCACTACTTTACTCTTTACTTAACTAATTTTACAGGCGCATATTGTTTTCAAACTTGAGTGAACATCTTAGCTTCTCTTTCCTATCCCTTTGTAAGATGTTAGCATTACATTAGCTTAGTTAATGTTCTCAAGTTTAGACAGTTTATTTCAGGAAGTCTTCCAATTTATCTTCATTTCATTTCATTCTCCACCAGTGGTCAACAACAACAATGAGTTCTACAAACTTCATTTAACTTAAACTACAGTTGTTTTCTCATAACATAGCAAACAAATTAAGCTAGTCAACTAAAACAATGTGGAGAAAGTCATTGTGGCTGATTTTGTGTACCACAGCTGTTCAACAGTCAGTCCCAAAGCCTGCTCCTGATGACCTCGGTAGCCATGCCTGTATTCAGCAAGAAGAAAGAGACTGTAAGTATTAATTTAAATCACAATTAAAACCATTACCCTCAACAGACATCATTTGAAATTGTGCATTTATCATTTATCATACATATCTGCTGTGTGTTTTCTGTAGTTGTCTCATGGGATTCTGCTGGGAGTGGTAGGAACTGATGTGGCCTTGAAAGAACTGATGAGATTAGCACCGAGATACAAGGTAAATGCAATATGCTGTGTCTTGAATAAGGATGGAATACTGTATACATACTTTGTCTTCTCTGAGACAGCCAGTAACATTGGATTCATAAGGTTAATTATCCACATGTTAAGATCTGTGTTGATGCCCTATAATGTAGTGTGCTGTGTCCTTATCTCTTTACGTCTCTTCAGCTGGGTGTCCACGGTTATGCATTCCTCATCACTAACAACGGCTATATCCTATCTCATCCTGACCTACGACCTCTGGTACAGACAAAGATCGTATTTTACAGTGAACTATCGCAGCTGAGAAAGTGTTGAAACTTTACAACTCTGCTTGACAGTTTTATTGTAATTAGCTTACCATAAATAAAAATTTTTTACTGTTTGTTGTTTGTATGTTTGTTTGTGTGTGTGTGTGTGACAGTATAAGGAGGGGAAGAAGCTAAAGCCAAAACCCAACTATAACAGTGTTGATCTGTCAGAGGTGGAATGGGAAGACACTGAGGAGAAAGTGAGTACCACACACTCACATTTCTGTCATTTTAAAGTCCCGTGTTTTCTCTTTTCAGTGTCAGTGTGAGTTGTGTTGTATAGGATCCACAACATGGTATGATGAAACAAGTGAAGTGCTGATTATGAGGTGTCTTTGTTTCAGCTGAGGACAGCCATGATTAAGGGAGAAACTGGAACAATGTCTTTAGATGTGAGAACTTCAGTGGATAAAGGGGTGAGCACTTTTTGGTTTTGTGAGTGTGTCTGTTTGTCAAGGAAACACAAGGAGCCGTCTTAAATATTATATCAGAGAATAGATTTTCCTCTCTTTCTTCCTGTGGTGGTTTCTTTTCTTGTATTAGTAATAGTTTTAATTCCTTGTTTTACTAGTAATTTACTAGTTTTAACTCTGTCCCTCTCACTGTCTCGCACAGAGGAGAGTGATGTTCCTGAAGAATGATTACTACTACACCATCATCAATGAGACACCCTTCAGGTTTGTCTGATCACTTTCAGCTTAAGAGAGGCTTACTAAAAGTGTCAGATTTTAAAATGTTACATCCACCATATCCAACATAGCAACATCTCTACCTGTATAAAATTATTAATAGCAGAAACATAACATCTATCTAAGTGATATCTCCTCTAACATAATATTCTCTCTAGCCTGCACTTTTGCTCTAGGACAACAAATGATAATTTTTGTTAAAAACCTATATATATATATATATATATATATATATATATATATATATATATATATATATATAATAGAAAGTAAAATAACAGTATTTTCTGTGTTTGACAGTCTGGGTATAGTGTTGACTAGGGGATATGGAGGGTATATCTTCATCGGAAACGTCTCTATTGAGGAGGGTAAGTCTTTTTCTTCTGTCGTAGTTTCTTTCTATTTATGTCTGCCTTCCTTACACTCTGTCTTATGTCTTTTTTGCTTCAGGTCTCCATGACTTATTGGCTCCAGACCTAACCATAGCCAACGAATGGTGAGTATGCCATAACCTATGGCCATAACTAGCAAAACATAGACGTTATGGGACTCCCACCAGTATTAAGTGCTTGTAGCTCTTCATATAAATATGACTACATGCCATTTTTCTAGATGTATTTTTGTGTGTGTGTGGGTGCTTGTAGGACCTACTGCGAGACAGACATTGACCCGACCCATCGTAAGCTGAGCCAGCTGCAGGCTGTGGTGCTGTACCTCACTGGTAAAGAACCAGATCTGGAATGTAAGTGTAACTTTATTTTGTGAAAAATAAATCACACTTTAACCCTGCAACTCACCAGCAAGTGGATGCTATGTAATTATATACACACATGAAATCCAGAACACACGCACAACCCGCAACAGTCTTTTGAGAGAACTTATATTTAAATCCCAAAATCAAGAATTGTTGCCAAACTCAGCCAACATATTAATAAAATTATTTTTGAAGTGTTAGTTGTGTTTGTGAAAGTTGCAGTAGCGTAAATAGTGCCCTGAAAGTAAAAATAAGATTATTTGCCTACACATAAATTACAGATTAAGGTACAAAAAACATTGGGATACACAGTCTTGTGATCTTTGAGACTGTTGGCTGCTTTTTTTGCAAAACAATAATTATCTGTCTTTTTTTTCCTCCTATGCCTTAGTCATTCATTACCATTTCTGTTAGATTTGTTTATTTCCTTTGGTCTGTCTTTACAGGTGATATGCTGTTGTTGCAGCAAACTCTATTTGATGCTGTGGTCACGGCTCCTATGGAAGCCTACTGGACAGCCCTCATGCTCAACACATCTGGGTGAACATTAACACACATGCACACCCACAAAAATTATCTTTTAATTAAGACATGGACTTTTTACATGATTACTCATTCTGTTGTTAGAACTATTTATCATGTCCTTCTTTATCTGCTGCACTGCCATCTTTTTCTGTCTCCATTTTCTCTCTCTCTCTTTCTCTCTTTGTCAGTATGGATGAGGGGGTTGAAACAGCGTTCTTGGGAACCCGTTCAGGCCTGTTGAGATTCCAGCGATACACTGGTATTGAGAAAAGAACTGCCAAGTGAGTAGAAAAAAACAGTAATTTTTTAAATATCATCAGATCCAATTAGTCATACCATTATGTGCACAACCAAACAGTTAAAAACTGGGATTTAAAGTAAGTGCTTAAACTGAGATTTAAATTGAAGCTGAAATTACAGTCAGGTGAGAGTTCGCCCTCTGGTGGTCAAATAAAAAGATTTTGGGGGGGAATAGTTTTTTTTGTAAATAATCCCAGTGATAGTCTACTCCAGATATCCTTATATGCAACTGATTAAAATGATAACATTCAAAAACAATTAACGCTGACAACATAAACATGCATACAGTATAGTATGTATGGTATATTTGGGTTGTGACTACATGCAGACATCCAACTGTTGAGATATAACACCTGCAAACACACAATAATGCTTAATTTATTTGAAAGATTTATTTAAATTTTTTTTATTAACATCCTGTTTGGTGTGACTTTTATACATACACTTTATAAATAAATGAATGAACCTGTCTACCTTAAATTTAACTTTCTCCCTTCTTCACTCTTGATCACTCTTTGTATCCTCCTCCCCTTTTTTTCCCCACTTAATCTCACTGCTTTTTTGCTGTTGTGTTTAAATCACATCCTTTTACTCCATATTATGATTTACTCATTTTTCTTGCCTTAACTATCCCTAAATCTGTTGTCCTCTTTATCCTGTCCCCCTTTTCCTTTTTCCTTTTTTGCTTTTGTAATAATTTTTAGGCGTTCGATAGTAGGTTTTTCTGTAAGTTTATTTTTGTCTCTCCCCAGGTCTTTCCTGACCTCAACAGACAAGGAGAATATGTTCACACTGGACCATTTCCCAGTGTGGTACCGCAGAGCAGCTGAGAACCCACCTGGAAAGTTTCTGTACTACATGCCCCAACAGGAGACTAGAGGTAGAGGACATACCTTAATTGAGCAAACACACACACAAAACACTTTTTGTGCTTTTTTTATTTCCAGTTTTCTCAGCCACATTCAGCAGGTTGAGCCAAAAATCTCTCTGTGACATTTCCTGCAGTCCACAGCTGCTCATTTCTGTTTACTTTGTATATTTATGTAGATTTCCTCCAATTGGAAAGTTTGAAAGAATAGTTGTTTTTTTTATGCAAAATGCCCAAAAAGGGTCCATTCAGTCTTGATGAATATTCTGTTTATGCTTATTCTTCACCATAGTTCATATTCTGGGAATTTTGCTGTTGTGAAGAATATTCAGCAGCTACAGAGTGACAAAGTTAACGTCTTGTGTCATCATGTTTGTCACATCACATCATACTAACACTTAACTCCATCTTTCAGTCTAGTTGAGAGATGAAAGCTCGGCCCTTCTCTGCCTCTGGATTTAATTTTCTTATTTAGCGACTGGAATGAATTATGTTAATAAAATATTTTTTAAGTGCTTTAAGAAAAACATAAAGTCACAAAGTGCTAAAGGCAGCAACAAATGACTTTTGAATTTAATCTTCACTACCTCGTGCAGATTTTAATGTAATTTTATTGAAATACTGTACATTCAGTGAGTATTAGGCTGATAACACTGCCGATTCTCATGACAGAATAAAGGGAGTGTTTATATATCCACTTGTCCACTTACTTAAACTAACTATATATTGAGTCATTTATACTCATATGAAAGATAGTGAACGGTATAGGATGTTCACACTTCACATCACTAAGATGGTGATAAATGTTCATTGATATAATGAAACATTTTATCATTCTACCATCCCTTGAAACATCATTTGCCATTAAAGTACGAATGTACAAAAATTGTCTTATATATGTTTTAGGTTAATTTAGAAATAGTTTGTTGTGTTCAGATATATTCAGGGACTATGAGGCTGACTATAGCGCCACCTCGAGTGCAGAGGAGGTGGAGCTCCAAGCGGAGGAGGGTTGGAGAAAACGAAGGGAGGCGGATGAGGAGGAGGAGGGTAGAGGAAAACTTACTTGTACTTGGCATGCCTCCTCTTTTTCTTCATCCTCACCCTGTTCTTCCTCACCCCTAATTTCCAAACCTGACGAGTGCTGTGGTCTCTGTTTTCCGTTTCTTCACCCTTCTCTTTAACAGTCTGTGCTGTCTTTGTCTTTTTGCTAGCTCTTGTTCTTCTTCTCTGTGTCATTCATCCTCCTCCTCCTCTCCCACTGCACGAGCATGCAATCAAAGTACGGGAACCTCCTCTCCTCTCTTAGGGAGTCAGTAATGTTTCTGGTTCATTTGCATTGTGTGGAGTCAGTATGTCTTCTGTCCACGATGAATTTTTGTTGAGAAATAAAAATCTGGTTTCATAGAGTGTTTTGGGTGTACTACCTCTGTCATTCTGTTACTACATTCTGTTACAATATTCAGTCGCAAAAAAACCACAAAGAAATCCCATTCTTATCAAAATCAGAATTTTCTAAATACATGATTATCCTGGAGACATAGACCAGTTTTGTCTTAAAGGAGTGTAAATGAGAAATATAAATATATGACTAATGGAAACACATAGTACACACACGCACACACACACGCACACGCACACACGTGTTATGAGTGAGTTATGAGTTAGTCTATTAGCTCTCATACTCTGTGTTACATAACGGTTAAACTGTTAATCTTGCTGGAATCTTTGGCTT